AGTGAACTTAGCAAATAAGAAAACAAAAATGACTAATATTTCATGACCAGAAAAGTTAAACACGTTTTCATTTTTTTAACTAGAAAAGTAATGCATACTTATTAAAGACAAATCATATAGAAAAGTGTAAAGCTGGAAAATAGATCCATCATCTTTTTACCCACTGATAACTTTGTCAAATTTATATCTAGTTTTTCCTGGTCCTTTTCCATTCATATTGAGACTTCATTGATACCCTGATTTTCTACTTTGTGGGATACCAGTTAAGGAGAATTGAGGCCTAATTAGCCTCCTCTGTGAGCACAAAGAAAAAGTTAATAGAGCGGAGATCAGGTTGTTTACCTGGAGAGGTACTAATGGATAACGGAAGGCAAATGAATTCTGTGTTACTTTAATTGCTTGTACCTGTGTTTGAGTGACTAAAAAGCAGGATACACCAGATACTTTGGAGTCCTCTGTCCACTAAAGCAAGAGCCCCCTGGCCGCCTGCATGCTAAACTAACTCAGTGTCTGTCTTTCATCCTCTTTTGACTCCAGCTCAGGGTGACAAAAGACTGGTGGGCTGATTCCCCGCAGGCGGGACCTGGGAAAGGAACCTGGGACCAACAGGGCAGACCGGTTTGCTACACTATTTAATTTTTCAGTTTAAGTCTTTATTGTATTACTAAAGACTCATTTTTATAGTTATAAACTTAAGCATAATTCATGAAATTATTTCCCAATTTCTATTTTTGTACTGTAATGTTACACCAAGATCTTTGCCATCATTTCTGACTATTTCTTTAAAGTAATTTCTCAGAAGTAGACCCCTCAAGGCTTGCTTGATAGGAGAGATGTTTTTTAAGGTACTTAAGAAAGACTGCCAAGTTGCTTTCCGTAAAAATTAAAACCTGGTTTTTTATTGTTACCAGCAATCTATAAAAACAACCATCTCATTAAACTGTAGTTCACAGTACAATTAATCTAATTTCTCATTCACATTTTCCTGAGTATTTCTGAGGTTGAGTATTTAGCCCTACTGCATTATATGTGATAGTAAACATTCAAGTTTATCTTGTATCCCCTCCCAAACTAGAGAGGGAACCTTCCTTCTGTTTACTGATGATTTTTCTATTGCCGTAGAAATTCATTGGCTTATTCTTTTTAAGATAATATATGTATTGTTGAGAATTAGAGATTTGACTAATTTAGATAAATAACAAAGAGATCCTCAGTTTGTGAAATCTCTTCTTGTGACTACAGTTTTGGTTTTGGTACTATGTTCATAACTGAATAGGAAAAGAGTTGCAAAAAATAAATTCCCAGAGATTTTAGTTCATGCTGTCTTTAAAAACAAACTATTGGAAGCTGAGCATGGTGGTGCACACCTGTGATACCAGCACTCAGGAGGCTGAGGCAGGAGGATCACCATGAATTCAAGGCTAGCCTGGGCTACATAACAAGACCCTGTCTCAAAAAAATCAAAGATAAATAAATAAAAAACTGTTGGCACACAATCATTTTGTAAGTTGGGGACTTTCAGTACACCATTGGGGAAATCCCAAAATACAGATTTTTTTAAAAAAATAAAAGTTACTCATTTTATTCACAGAAATCTATTAAGTTCCCTGACAGTAGCAGTCAGATCTTACTTGGTTGGTTTGTTTTTTTTTTTTTCTTTCCCAAACATAATTCCTGGCATATGGTAGTTGGTCAGTAAATGTGACTAGTAGGCTCTTTGAAATAATAGAGAGCTTCAACTTGGACTTAAAAGATCTGAATTTTTTCCCCTGTGGACCTTTGTAGATTCTGTGAAGGCTGGGGGCATGTTGGGGTAGGGATTAAACCCACGGCCTTGTACATGCTAACTTACGGCAACTTGTAATACTCATTTTGATCAACAATAGGTATAGTATTTCTTCCGTATACTTCACAGAATTGAGAAATAAATGAAATGAAATATGTTAAAGTGTCTTGTAAAATTAAAAAACACCATGAAAGTTATCATCATTAGTATAGTTTTGTTTTTTGAGACAGGGTCTCACTTTGTAGTGCAGCCTGGCGTTGAACTGTATTGCCCAGGCTGGCCCTGAACTCAAGGCAGTCCTCCTACCTCAGCCTTCTGAGTGCTGATATTACAGGCATGTACCACCATACCTGGCTTATTATAGTTCTTGAAATTCGTGGTAAAGCGCTCCATTGAGTATGGCAGAGACTTCTAGCTGACCACCAAAACATCCCACTGTCTCTTCTTGCGGGGCATACAACTGGACCCTGCTGTGCATCCTTTTCATATAGGTATGGTCATGTGACTGCGTTCTGACTGATGGCCTGGGCAGAAATAATGTCACAGCTTCCCGGCCTGGCCCAGAAACATCTCCCATGAGAACCCCTCCAGACTTCTTTTTTTCCTGGCTAGAATATAGACAGCCTTCAAAGTAACTTTGAAAGCTACACAAATATAGAAAGCCTCTCTGAACCTCATATGTCTGCTAACTCCATCCATCCAATTCTGCTACATGAATAAGAAATAAACTTGTGCTTGAATCATATTGAATCATTATACATTCTGCATCTACTTGTTGGAGCAGTGAAGCTACATCTATTACAAGGAGCATGCTAGCATGTGCACCACTTTTCTTTAGAGAAGCATAATTCTCTAATAGAAGCCTTACAAAGAATAGTGACTAACAATTATATAGATGTGTGGACATATACAGTTGGTAACTCAAGATGAAGTTATTGTCATATGAGAATTTTTTAAGTAAAGTTAAATATTAAAGCTTAATTGGATCATTTTTCCATTTTTAACATTTAGTCTTCATTATTGAAGCCAAGGACCTCCAAATACAGGAGATATCTCTGCTAATGCCTTGCTTTAATATGTATTTAGTATCCAGACATTTTTCTTTAATATTAAATATGTTACTCAAGATACATAGTACAAAATTTTCTAAGGACAGTAATCATACTGAGTTTTTAAATAAACGTTACTCCCTTTCTCTCCGGCTTTATTTTTTAGATTGTTTGACCTATCTCCTAATTTTACACTGATGAGGGGGCATGCTAGTCTCACTCAGAGATTGTAGGGTAAGACCTTTTCTTCAAAATATGTATGTCTGTGAAACTCCGTGTTACGTTCCTAAGGAATGTTGAGAAAATTCAAGTATGCACGTACCCATTTACCTGGTAGCTTTTACCCAAAGTCACCCGGAGTAACTGGTAGTACTGGGTCCTGCCGTTCCCTTGGGGGAAGAAGTGTCTGTAAACGTCTTTAGCTTGAGGTGGCAATGCCTCTAACAGCAAGTGCAGTGTTAGTCTACTTGGCGATAGAAGTTTAAGGCTATTAACTTGCTAGACCGTATGATTATGAGAGTGAACACAATGCGACAAACAAAACAGCTTTCACAGAGTTCACATACTGCCTAAAAAGGGACTACCCTGTTTCTTCTGAGGCGATAAATTTTTTACACATCATGTTTAGTAATCTGATTTCCCCTGGGAAGCTTGGGTGGTTCTGTGGTTACAGTTAATTCAAATAAGAGCAAGCTGTGCATAGCATGTTAGAAATAGAGAAGAAGAAGAACTAAACCTTACTATAGACTTTAGAAGGTAACAGCGCAGGACAGACAAGCCAAAGGAAAGAAAACTAATTGTCTAAACGGGAGACTAAGGGAATTGAGTGAAATGACAAGCTGAATCCTATTTTTCTGGTATGCCTTTTGGGAGTGTTTAACTGCTAAGGCACATACAATGCTGATACTAAAAGTTACCCTGAGTTTGCTGTGGTGGAGCATACCTGTAATCCCAATACTCTGGGAGGCTGAGGCAGTAGGGTCAAAGTTCAAGCCCAGCCTGGGCAATTTAGTGACTTAGCAAGACCCTATTTCAGGCAGAGGTACTGAGTTCAATCCCAAGTACCACACACAAAAAAAGTTATCCTGAAACAGCATAGGGCTAAATTCTGTTTAGAATTTTGATAGAAAGTAAAGTCCATTTTAGAACTCAGAACTATTTAGGAGCTTCCCAACTATCTGATTATTTTATTTAAATCCGATTGCCTTATTTCTACCCAAATACCTACTTTTTTGAATAGTTCCTTTTAGCTCCATGAAAAAGCATGTGGTTGTTGAGTACCCGGTCATTCACCTTCAAATGTAATTTCTTCAAATTATTACCCTTGGAATTTTGGGGGTTTCTGTTTAGTTATGACAGAATGAGGCCACTTTTCGTGAAATCACATTCCTTTTTTTTTTTTTTTGAGACAGAGTCTTGCTGTGTAGTTCAGGCTGGCCTTGAACTCACCATGTAGTTGAGTCTGGCCTTGAACTCACGGCGATCCTCCTTGCCTCAGCCTTCCAAATGCTGGGATTATAGGTATGTGCCACCACACCTGGCCCACATTCCTTTTAAAAAGTTAAAGTATAGTATAATTGCATGAGGTTTTGTGGTTTGTTTTTTTTTTTGAGGTTTTGTGTTTAGATTTTTTAAAATGAAATTTAATCCAATTGACTTTTTTTAAGTGTGTAAGTTTTGGGGGTTTTTAAATCAGTTTTAATACTCTATATTTTGCTTCTTTAACAGAAAGTTATATCAGTATTATCTGTACACTGTCACTTTTCTAGAAAAATAATGCTTCAGAACAACAGAAATTGTCTTCTGAACTTCTCTCTACTTAGCAGGTCACTACTTGTACTTGACAGATAAACTGAGAAGAATTTATGTTTTCAGTGTATAGATGGAGCCCAGAGACATCATTGTTGGAAGGAAGGTGAACTGTGCTGTATTAAAACACGTAACTTTGCAGAGCTACTCTTTGTGGCGCAGTACGGATACTGCCAAACGAAAGCCACGTAGTAGGAGTTTAACGAGATACCAGTTGAAGAAATGAATGGATGATCATTGAATTAAAAGTAGCTGTTGTCATACGGGCCTACTGCCACTCATTTATTGAAGGGCTGTTTAACTGGAAAATGTTAACTGTTATATACTAATTGTATCCCTTGTGTTCTGGGATGCAGGTGGCGATAAAAATAATAGATAAATCTCAGCTGGATGCAGTGAACCTTGAGAAAATCTACCGAGAGGTTCAAATAATGAAGCTGTTAGACCACCCGCACATAATCAAACTTTACCAGGTACAGCTTGTCCTTATGCTGTCCGTGTTCAGTTTTTTATTTCACATCATGTTTTTGTCTGTTTTGTTTTTCTAATCTGTGAAAGGATAAATGTAAGTTAAGTATATCCATTTTTCTGTATTATCTTGAAGTAAAAAATTTGGAAATCGAAAGCTAATGGGTAGCTTAATTTGCAAGTTGTCTCAAATTGCTAGTTATGTGTTACGCATCCACAATTCCCTGGATAAATGAGGGTATGGTAGTTTTGCTTATTTAAAAAACGTACTGTTTATCTTTCATGAAATAATTCTATCACTTAGAGTGTTATACTTTGTAATATAGGAAGCCAAACATCTTTTTGAAGAGGCTTATTTTATCAAATAAAATAAATAAATCTTTTTTTTTAAATTGGCTTAATTAAAGTAATTTTTATAAAATAAATTGTGTTCCTTTTAAATATAGCCATTTTTTTAGAGGAACATTCTTCACGGGTCTCTGTTTTTGTTTTCCTAAGACAGGGGCTTGCTACATAGCCCAGGCCGGCCTTGCACTCTTGAACCTCCTCAGCCTCCAGTGCTGGGATTACAGGTGTGCACCACCATGACCGGCTCCATTTTCTGGGATTTTTAAAGAGTATTTCATGCTTAATAATAATATAAACCGTTTTTAAAGTTTCTATTCATTCATATGTAGAATTTTTTAAATTGTGAAATTGTTTCTAAACTGAAAAGTTGCAGTGTGCTGACCTGTGACTTTGATCCCCGAAGTATGATATGCACGGTATGTTGGAGTCAGTCTGTTCTGGCTTGTGAGACTGGTTATTAAATTTCCAGAAGTTTTGTGAGGTGATAAACATCATGTTAGTAATCTCAAAATCAGCAATAAGGGGAGTAATTATACCATAGGAAGTGGCTTACAAATTAGGGCCTTTTGTTCTGAGAGACCTGGTTTACTGTCACACAACTTTTACTCAGATGGGTTAGGACAAATATCCTTGGGGTGTAGGAAGAAAATATTACAGCTTTGAGCTGTGTTTATTTTGTCCTCTTGTGTGCATTTCATAATGTGCAGAATGTACTCATACTGTGGCATGTATAAATTTGTGTCTGTGTGTATATATATATATGTATAGATAGATATATGTACGTAAATATTTGTATATGTGTCTGTACATATATGTGTACACATATATTTTTTAACTAACAGTGTTTATTGATGCAAATTTGCAATAAAAAAGGTTGGAGACCATTGGTATATGCTATGCCTTATAATAATGAGCAATTATGTGTGCCATCCAAAACCTTTCCTAAATTTTAAAACTAAAGAGATCGCAAGAAGTCAAATTTATTTATTTAAGCTTTTTTTTATTTCCTGAAGAAGATACTTTTAGAAACTAATCACATTCTTAGAATTCTCTGATAAATTATAAGCTGAACTGAGGATAAAACTGCCATGATTCACTTGATAATTCTGTCTTTGTTTACACTAAATAATCAGTTAAAGTTGAATTACTATTTAATTTGTTTAGGTGCAAACTATAGGTATCTCAGTTTGTTTCACCTGGTGTGGAATAGCACTAAACTTACAATTTAGAGCAAAGTTAGTTTTTGTCCTTCAGTAGATCACGGTTAAAAGAGTGTTACAGGGAAGCAATCTAGAAATCTTTCATCTTGAATTTAAAAATGAATTGCCTTTCTAAATAGGGATTTATTCAGTAGAGTTTGAAAAGTCAAAGTGGTGGCAATCCCATATTTCCTTTCTGAACCTAGAAAACTAATTTCAATGAGAAGTATTCGGCAGTAGAGAATGAAGATGCAGCTTTCAAGCAGTGTTTTAAAATTCTAGTACTTTGTGTCAGTATTTTTGTAGAAAGAAATCACATTGTATCAGATTAGGTAGGCTACAGGCCAGATAAACTAAACTCTTCTATTTTATTATTCTCTTCCTCATCAGAGGTACCATGATAATACAGGGCTTTAAAAATTCAGTGATGAAGTATTGAAAAGTTGATCTTCAAAACTTTTGTTATCTGTATTACTATTCCTCAAACTTCAATGTGCATGAAACTTACTTGGCAGTTTTGTTAAGATGTAAATTCTAATTCAGGAAGTCTGAGATGACGCCTGAGCATCTGCATTTCTAACAAGTGTCTGCTACTTCTGGCTGATGAACCACAATTAGAAGAGCAAGGATCTAGATTTCTCATAAAAATATTAACAGAAAGATATTGTCAGGCTTATAAACTGTGCCAGTTTTTGAATTGTTCTTTACTCTGATTCTTTTGTTAATAGTTTTAATTTAGGTAAACCCATAGAATGTTGTAACTTACGGTCCTTTTTGTCAGACTAATGTGGAATTATTCATCAATAGGTAATGGAGACCAAGAGCATGTTGTACCTTGTGACAGAATATGCCAAAAATGGGGAAATTTTTGGTAAGCTTTTTCTTTCAATTTTTCTTAATTTGAAAAGTCGTTTATTGGTGTGAATGGGGAATTTCCTACTAATTTTTCTGCTTGAGAGTTGGTAATGTGAGTTGGAAATTTTAAGTAGTAGACTTTGATAAACTATCCAGTACACTAAAAACATGGAATGTAATTTATATTACTGCATTTATGTTAAAGGTACTGCTTAATTCTCTCATCTGTGTTCAAGAGACTAAATAATCAAAGATGAAGAAGGTTTATAGCACATTGTGAGAGAGATTTTCCTTCCTTTTATTTTTTTTTTAAACTTTCTTTCCAGGAAAAATATCAGACAGTGAATATTATTGAGTCCTGCTATGGCTTAGGTATTGGGCTGTCAGTGATAACCTAAAAACACTACACCAGTCATTGTGAATCTTACAGTTTAGTAAGATATTTGCTATAGCTGTAAGACCTCAGGCCAAGTCAGTAAACCTCTCCAGGATTTGATTGTTTATCTCTAATAAGAAAATATTTGATAAATTGCTCACTGTGGTCCATTTTTGTCCATAATAAATTATATTTTGTTAGTTCTGGCTTTTGATTAAAATGTCTATTTATTTTTATTCTGTGGAGCTACAATACAGTAGGTACCTAAATATTTTTAGTACTTAACCTAAATTTAAAACCAAAATTGTTTTTTAAACAGCTTTATTGAAGAGGAATTCACATAGAATAAATTTCACCTATTTAATATGTGCAATTTGATAAGTTTTAACACACGATGACCATGAAAGCCTCACCACAGTCAAGATGCCCACCAGTTCCGACTCTCTGTACACTCCGGCAACCACTGACCTGTGTCCAGCACTGTAGATTATTTTGTAGCTTCTGGAATTTTATGTTAATGTAATCATATAGTATATATTCTTCTTTTTTGTCTTTCCTTCAGAACAAAATTGAGATTCATCCATTTTGTTATGTATGTCAACATAGGCAATAATTTCTTTTTACTGTCAGTGGGTGTTACGTGAATACATTCTAATTTGTGTGTCCATCCGTCTCCCGGTAGCTGTCTGGGTTGATGTCAGTTTCAGGTTATTAAGTAGCTGTGAGCATTCATATCCAAGGCTTCACCTTGCACAGGCTCCCTTCAGATACAATTTACCAGTTCCCATTTGTTAGTGTAAAAACTTTAAAATAATGTACTTCTGTTTTGTTCTGCCTGGCTTGTATGTTCTTGTCACATTTTGCCATATGTATTTTATAAAATACAATGCAGTATTACTTGTAGCAATTACCTTTTACAGACATTTCAGTATTTTTTAAAAATATATTTACCAGTATAGTTGCCACTGCCACATTCCTTTACATGCACGCCTGGTTTCATCTTTATCCTTTTGTTTAGATGCATATTTTCATGTAGGGTCATTTTCATTTTGCCTGAACGATTTTCTTTAATATTTTTTGTAGTACAAGTGATGGAATCTTTCAGTTTTTGTATGTCTAAAATAGTCTTTATTTTACTTTTTCTTTCCTTTTCTTTTCCTCTTTCTTTCTCTCTCTCCTGTCCTTCCCCCTCCCATCTTCTCCCCTCTCCTCCCCTCTCCTCTCCCTTTCTCTTTTCTCCAGTGCTGGGGATCAAAACCAGGTCCTTGTACACGTTAAGCAAGTGCTCTCACGGAGCTGTGCCACCATATTTGCACTGGGTGTAGAATTCTAGATGAGGTGCTTTGAGTCTTTTGCTGTGATTTGTACTTTAAAGACGTTTCCCTGCTGGACTGTGTCTCTGTTGCTGGAGCACAATCCTGATACCCACGATTTAAAGAAGTTTAATTGGTCTCTGTGTTAGGGGATCCAGTCCATGACCCGTTAGCTCAAAGGCAGAAATACCCCGGGAGAAGAGCGTAACGGAGCAAAGGTGCTAAGTTCATGGCAACTGAGAAGCAGAGCAGGTGCCCAGTACCAGCGGGCAAAAGGCCAGGGCCCTTGGTCCTGCCTCCACGAGCCACCCAGACACCCGAAAGTGTGCTTTCCTAGTGTGCGAGGCATTCTTAATCCACACAAGTTAGCATATCACAGTTAGTGGTCACCACTATCTTCTCATTTGCAGTGTTTCTGAGAAGAAATCTGGGATTGGCTTTTTCTTTATTCCTGTGTACATATTATACCTTTTTCTCCGCGTTAAAAGCTTTCTAGTTATCGTTGGTTTTACCAATTTGGTTATAATGTGCCTCTTCTGGTATTTTTCATGATTCTTTTGTGTGGTGTTCATAGAATTTCTTGGACCTGTGTGTGTATGGTTTTGATAAAATTTAGAAGTTTTCAGCCACTATTTTCTTAATTTTTCTGCCCCTTTGTTCTCTGAGATTGTAATCAGCTGGCTATTAGACCATGTGAAGTTTTCCCAAAGCTCACTGGATATTCTTTTCCATTTAAAAAGAAATCCTTTTTCTCTCCATATTTTACTTTAGGTAGTTGCTGTTTCATCTTCAAGTTCACTAATCTTTTCTTCTGGAGTGTCTACTCTGGCATGACTTTATCCAGTGTATTTTTCATCTCAGATATTGTGCATGTTTTAGAAGGAACTTGACTAGGACTTTTTTACACCTTCCGTGACTTTACTTACCTTTTTGAACACCTAGAATACAGTTAGAATAGCTTTTAATGTCTGTGTGTGCTAATTGCAACCTCTTTGTCAGTTCTGTATCAATTTTGATTGGTTGATATTTCTCCTTAGTTTTGCTTGTATTTTCCTGCTTCTTCACATGTGAAGATGGAGGGATGGGATTGGAGAAGTTGGTTTCAATATTTTTTTTTTAATTTTATTTTAAAGAGTAAAAGAAGGGTAACATAATAATAGGGGGGACTTAGCAAATTACAGACAAAATGGTAGGAAATTATCAATGGTTATCGTTTTACATATTGTTATCTACAAA